AATGCGAAACTAGAGCGCAGCTTTTGAAGAGGAAGAGGGAAGTGTATGCTCCTCCTCCTCCATACCCTCCACTCCTTCTCTCCTCCTCTACCTTCTCCTTTCCTCCTCCTCTCCTCCTGCGACTGAGTTTGTACTTGGGTGACGTGACACGAGGTCATGACGTCATTTTCCCCGCTAAATTTAGCGGGGAAGCCGAATTGTGTTGAGGTCAGGTAACGTCAATTTCCCGCTAAATTTTGCGGGGAAACTTAACGCGCTAAAGTTAGCGGGGGAATTTTCTTGCAAAATTTAGCAGGGAAATTTTCCCGCTAAGTTAGCGGGAAAATTTCCCCGCTACCTTCAGCGGGGAAACATCCCATATTGGAGAAAATGAAAGATGTTTACAAATCTCTCTAATGCGAAACTAGAGCGCAGCTTTTGAAGAGGAAGAGGGAAGTGTATGCTCCTCCTCCTCCTCCATACCCTCCACTCCTTCTCTCCTCCTCTACCTTCTCCTTTCCTCCTCCTCTCCTCCTGCGACTGAGTTTGTACTTGGGTGACGTGACACGAGGTCATGACGTCATTTTCCCCGCTAAATTTAGCGGGGAAGCCGAATTGTGTTGAGGTCAGGTAACGTCAATTTCCCGCTAAATTTTGCGGGGAAACTTAACGCGCTAAAGTTAGCGGGGGAATTTTCCTGCAAAATTTAGCAGGGAAATTTTCCCGCTAAGTTATCGGGAAAATTTCCCCGCTACCTTCAGCGGGGAAACATCCCATATTGGAGAAAATGAAAGATGTTTACAAATCTCTCTAATGCGAAACTAGAGCGCAGCTTTTGAGGAGGAAGAGGGAAGTGTATGCTCCTCCTCCTCCATACCCTCCACTCCTTCTCTCCTCCTCTACCTTCTCCTTTCCTCCTCCTCTCCTCCTGCGACTGAGTTTGTACTTGGGTGACGTGACACGAGGTCATGACGTCATTTTCCCCGCTAAATTTAGCGGGGAAGCCGAATTGTGTTGAGGTCAGGTAACGTCAATTTCCCGCTAAATTTTGCGGGGAAACTTAACGCGCTAAAGTTAGCGGGGGAATTTTCCTGCAAAATTTAGCAGGGAAATTTTCCCGCTAAGTTAGCGGGAAAATTTCCCCGCTACCTTCAGCGGGGAAACATCCCATATTGGAGAAAATGAAAGATGTTTACAAATCTCTCTAATGCGAAACTAGAGCGCAGCTTTTGAGGAGGAAGAGGGAAGTGTATGCTCCTCCTCCTCCATACCCTCCACTCCTTCTCTCCTCCTCTACCTTCTCCTTTCCTCCTCCTCTCCTCCTGCGACTGAGTTTGTACTTGGGTGACGTGACACGAGGTCATGACGTCATTTTCCCCGCTAAATTTAGCGGGGAAGCCGAATTGTGTTGAGGTCAGGTAACGTCAATTTCCCGCTAAATTTTGCGGGGAAACTTAACGCGCTAAAGTTAGCGGGGGAATTTTCCTGCAAAATTTAGCAGGGAAATTTTCCCGCTAAGTTAGCGGGAAAATTTCCCCGCTACCTTCAGCGGGGAAACATCCCATAATGCAACGCGCGCGGTTATGCCGACGCCGATGCCGCTCCACCCAGAAGCGGGTGCCTAAGAGCTGCACTCTGAAAGGAACAGAAGACTGGATAGCATTGATCTCCAGCGTACGACCGAACCTTGGAGAGAAAGGGAGACACGCGTTGATCCCTGACTTCGAGGCACGGAGACGAGAGGTGTGAAACGGTTTGGAACATTAACGATGTTGCGTCAAAGAGTAAAATGCACAGCGCACAAAGACAGGACAGGAGAGAGAGGACACACAATTGCTGAACTTGCAACCGAAGTTTAATCGTCAAGATGCAACCTTATGTTCGACGACCAACCAAGAAAAAAAGCACCCACGGAATGACACACCAATATATTCCAGCACCCTTACCGCGGTCGCTGTCGTCGTGCAAGATATTGTAACTCTTTACCAAGAAGGAGGGGGGGGGGGGGGGGGGGGGGTTGTTCTTTTCGGCGCCGAGGAACATCGCGGCGCCTGAGGTACCTATATCGTTAACGGCCGCAACCTCGGCAGTAGCGAAACGTGGCCGTCCACGCCAGTGCACCGCAGACCAACAAAGGAAGCGGAAGAGCGACATTCATGCTTTCGCATTCACAACTTATAAAAATTGCTCGGGTTTCCTTGGATTCGTTAAACTTGCACCACAGTACTTCTCCGATGACAATACACTTTAATCGCGCTATATCATGAACTTGTTTAACGATAATAGCAATGCCGCCGCCCCTTGTGATCCTGTCTCTTCTTATCCTCTTATAATAAGGTGGAAAATTTTCACTATCTTTAATGCCACTATGCAGCAGGTCTCCGTGACGGCAGTTACGCGGGGGTCGTGAGTTAGCAAAATTGTTTCCAAATCGTCCACTTTATTCATAATACTTCCTGCAATAAAACTTAAGATTCGCAGGTGCGAGCGAGGCGGTGCTGCACGTAATTTTCTACTATTTAGCTAAATTCGTTAATTCTCTCTTTTTTTCTTTTTTTTTTTTGCAGACTTGTTTTACGTTTTTGTTTGACTCAAAAACCTGCATTCCTATTTTTATTTTATCGTGTGCCAGAAAAAATGTCTCCCCGTTATCCCGATTGCCCTTGATACTTTCCCACAGTAGACTGCGTTTTTGAATGGTCTGTCAAGAATAATCCTGCTCTAACGTTATCTTGGTTCCCTTCAAGCGTCTGCTTTGTTTGAGCAGGTTTTCTTTTTTTGTGTAATCGAGATATAACGGGTCGCTTTTTGTTTGTTCTTCGCCCTACCCGGTGTAAGCGCTCACCTGTGTTCGCGCGGATTCCAAGCTTATCCTCAAACACATTAAAAAGTATATTTGACCACGGCAAGTCATTTGTTTCGCCTAAACCCTATGGGACACCAAACACCATAAGGTTGTTTTGTCAATTTCAATCTTCCAACTGGACGAGTTTGTTCAGGCATTCTCTCAGGCTATCTTTTATTGTCTTAAGATTGTTGTCAAGGAGAGGTTATTACTTACCCCTTATCGCACTTTTTCTGGGCACGATCATCCTCATAAAATTCACATACAAAAGTGTCCTACGAACCAATTTATCAACTCCCCGTTGCAGCTTACCACTTCTGAGTAAAACTTTCTGCCCTTGTGGAAATTGCAGATAAAACAAAATGCAAAACATGATGTGAATTATTACTTTACGGTACTCAGGAATGAGGCATGTGGGCCTGTAAATTTCTTTGTGTTGTATTTATTAATATATCGATTGGTTAATTTTTTAGTGATATGTTGTTTTATGTGTGCAATAAGTGCGTTATAGCATGTTGTATTTTGTGTCATCAAATGTTGTATCCCCCCTCATATTATGCCCTAACCAAGCGACTTGAGGCATGTCAAATAATATAAAAAATAGTCTAATAAATTTTAAAATTAATGTATGGATGCACATACGTTGTCGGAAATGTTCACGTTCCAAGGCGTTGTTTGCGAGTTTATTCTACTTCGTTTGTTAATCAAATTGTCTCAATTAGTTCCTTGCCCCGCATACAATTAGCGCTTGTATAATACCCTTAATGCAGCGGATGTTGTTGTTTTTAATCGTTTAGCATAATTTTTGTTTCACTAATTTGTAATCTTATGGTTTGAGTGCCATCAAGGCATATGATGTTCATAAGCACAGAAAATAAAATAATAATGAATGAATGAATGAATGGCAGAGATGCCAATTCCTAATCAGGATAGATTTAGATGGAAAGCTTTGATTTAAATCATTGTAGAAAAATCTGCTTTTATTTAAATCGCTATATGAATCCTTTTATTCTTTAAATTTTATGTTATAAATCTTTAATGAAAAGAGCGATGTCGGCTTTCCCGTTTGAATGGTTCTTTCTTTCAATATGAAATCAATCTCCAACTCCATGCATTCTCCTACTTGCCCGGATTCATCGAATTCTGGCGTTTTTAAATACTGGCACGCAACGATAGCGGAGGAGAGCGATGGTAAAAGGACCACGTGACTGCAGCGCCTACTACAGAAACTTCCGGCGCTCGCTCTGTCGGCAAAGTCCGCAAACCAAATTGAAGCTCTGCTCCATCTTCTCCCTCCATCTCACGCATGACTTTTTGCGCCGACGAAGGCACAGGCACGTGAAGCAAGCTGAGCAGAATTATTTGTGTGTACGGTACGACAACTCGCGCGCACAAAAGGCACTTTCCAAAGCCACGAGGTCGCACCCGTGTCTTCGTTGGCGCTGCAGATGTTTTTGAGCAGATGCTGCAGCAGCCGGGGCATGCTACAACGAACCCCAGCGCCACACCGCTATTCCTACGCCGGGAGCACGACCCTCCGCACTGCCCGCACACATTTTTCTAGAATACCTTCTTAATCGAAGCCGTGTAAAACCTCCACTGTCACCGTCAACTGGTCATTCCTAGCTGGCGGCATATACCAAAATAATCATCACCTAAAACAAGAAATGCGCGGAAGTGTCTGGCTTTGTGTCTCCTCTCCTCCGTACAACACCACTGCAGCGGGAGAAGAGAGCTTTACGGATGCGGCGCCGTCGTCTGCTAATGGTGGGTCGATAGCAGACGACTCGTGGGTATTGTCCAACGTTGGTTTTGACCACGGAAGTGACGCGTACGCGTCCAGACAGACTTTTGTTTATGCGCGGCTATAAATAACATGTCACAGCGTCAATTTCGGCGAGGTCCGAAAACCTCAACCCCGACGAAGCCCACCCCCGAACCCGAGTTCCGCGAGAGCGAAAGCGAAATCCAGCTGCAGCTGCGCTGGAGCGAAAACCCGAAACGGGCGCGCATTTTCTCTCGAACGAAAAAAAAAAATAAAAGGCGGACGAAAATGCGGCGTTCCGTTTTCGGCGCATGGTTTTAACTCTTTCCGGTGGCGCAACGTGGGATAAAAGTTTAAAATAATACTCTCCGGGTTGAATGTAAACAGTCCTCGGAGTTTTCTCTCTCGAAGTTCGGAGGTTCGGAGGGTCGGTGTATCGCGGTCGGCTTGACGGCATTGCAGCGAGCCCAGGGTTCATTCAAAATGGCGGAGGGTGAGGCAGCTGGCGGCAACGATTTCGGCGAGATCGACCTCACATGGACGGACAAGCTTCGCAAGATGGTCTCGAGCGACGCCGAATGGGAGGCCATCATCCTAAAGAAGATGGAGGAGAAAAGGAATAAAGGTAGGGTTCCCAACCGCGTCGCGACCTTTCCTCGGCTGCGGCACGGAAACGGGCCGGCGGTCAGCGAACCGTGCGACCGTTTGCCTGGCGATGATTTCGGCCGTCTTCGCCTATAGTCACACCACGAGAACGGCAGAGGTGTTTCTGTTTACCCGCCTAAGCGCGACCTTCCTCCTACCTTCGATGATGCTTCGAGTGTTCACGTGCAACGAATGCACGGTGGAAGTCAACGGCGCAAGTCAGCGGCGCTTGACCGATTTTCCGAGAGAGACGTCTCGCCGGTCTCATTCTGTTAAACTATAGCCAGCCTTTAGTGTGTCTTATACGGGAGGAACCTTCCGTGCTTCTTTACAAGGGAACGCTCGTAACCTTTCGCCATCTGGCTGGCAATATTCTTTGGATATTCTTACGTTGGTAGTTATTCGCAATGACGTTGACCCATCACCGTCGTCTCGAGTGTGCTCGAAGCATTTCTTTGAATGAAAAAGGGCACCAAGACGACGGGCAACGCGTGGCTGCATACTTTGGCATGACTGCAGCTACGCAGCTGCAGCCAGCAGTAACTATTTGTCGGTTTCGTCTGGCTCACGCCCGCGCGTTGTGCAGGTCACCGCAGGACTGGTACTGCACTCGCAATTTTACGGTCAACAAGGTCAGGGCTGTCCGAACCTCATGCGTGAACCAGAGTTGTACTATGTAACGCGCAGCAAGTAACGCGTTGTATGTATACATACCCATTTACACTGTTCGGTAACGAAGTGACGACTTGGGTAATTAAAAAAAAAAAGAAGTAACGTGTTGCGTATTTTAGTTACTTTTTGATAAAGTCACGAGTGACGGTAGTTTACTTTTGCAGGAGAGCGCGTTCAACACGAGCACCCAATCACGTTCTGACCCCAGCTCGCGTCTGCAATTTACACGAGGGGAAAACGCTAGATAGACCGTAACAAGTATGTCTAGAAGGTACTACGTCGGTGTAGCCAATGTTATCCCCGAATCAGTGCGTTAAAAAGCGAGACTTTATTAACGACCACAAATGTTGAAAGCTGCTACTGCTTCTTAAAAGCAACACATGCGGAGTAAGGAGAAAATAAAGCGTTACATTCGAGCTAAGGTAACGCCTATCTTTTGAACCATAGTAACCAGTAATGTATACGTGTGTTTATTCCAGCAACTTGTACTATACGTATACATGCCTGGCGTAAACACGGTCCTAATTGAGCCGTTCCGAAGGTAATGAAAAGCGTAGGCTCTTGCTTCGAAGTCCCGGGGCTCACGTGTCTTTGAACGTAGCAGATACTCGACAGCAGCGAGTTTCAGTATTGCGCATGCGAGCGAACGCAAGCACTGCGCGTTTGCGTTGCGTGTTCCGCACAGCGCGTGCGCGGAGCCTACAAACTGCGGTCTTGGATTTAACGCATGGCGACGACGCGCGCGCGTGAGCAGCGTGGCGCACGCGTCGGCACGACGCTTGCGTTTGCTCCTTTTCCAGCGCTTATGACCCGAGTGGAAACAAAAATGCCAAGTCACCGGGCTGTCGACGCATGCGCGGCATCTGCTGTACCGCGCAGCAGAGCAACAGCGCATGCTCGGAAGACGTCCCACAGCCCAGCAGACAAAAATGGCAACGCGCAGAAGGCGCGATTATTGGTGAAGGTCTATACGCAGTACCCCAATAAAACTCGCAATCTCTTTTTCTCGATTGAATGTCGGGTGGTACTTGCAGGCACAGTGAATTAATGCGTCGTGACCCCGCATTTTTATTTTCTGCGCGAGATCGGTTTAGTCGGTTAATATAGCAAACGCACAAAGATCACGAGCGTCGTGACGAGGCACTTTTGGTGCTGCCGGATTGGCTACGTCGGATCGCATAGAGAGTCTGCTGCGGCCGGACTCTGGGCAAAACGGAGTACAGGGATGTCAAGCCAGACTAGTGCCTATCTCAAATACTCTACTCAAGATACTGCATTTCAGATACGTTTGGTAGTACTTTGATATCTTGCAAATACAGTCCATCTAGAGTATTTGCCTACTCTACCTTAATTACATTTCTCACTATCTTGTACTCAGTGTCTCAAGTACATTTTGCAACCTTGGAAAACAAATTTCGCCGGAATAATCTACAAACTAGGGATCATCGAACCTGGGATAAACTGAACCGATTGCAAACTTGGAGCCAAGTGACTGAACACAGAACAGAAAACAAGGCACGAGCAAAACACAGTCTCCAAATGCCTACACAAGACCAAATGAATAGCCCTAAGTACGCCCGCCTCTGTGTGTCCTCTTGTATTTTCTTTTTTTCGAACTGTCTTTGAATGTCACGTCACTCTTGGAGCTATAGTCCGTTAAAACTCAAGAAGGTAGGGTGAGGGAAAGAAAGGCCGGAAAGGAGGAAGCAGACGGAACGCTAAGGAGAAAAGGAGGTTTCCCCCTCTCTTCTCCAACGTTCCGTCTGCTTCCTGCTCCCCGGCCCATCTTACCCTCGCCCTACATTCTTGACCTTTTTCGCAAGGGCGTCGCCATCTTGAATTGTGGTCACTTCCAGTATGGGCGAAAACATTGTTTTGCCGTCGCCACGCCAATCGAAGGCATTTAAGACATAAACATAACTGTCACACATTCTCGTTTTGCCTCCCCTTTATTTTTTTACTATTTGCAGGTTTAAATGTTCTGATATTTTTCGTCGCCCATACCGAATATGCCTACTTGGCGGTCGGGGGCGAGAGTAAGCGGAAAAGGTCTGGTGACGTCATCCGGATTTGACGCTCACACCCCACCGCTTGTCTGTAGCTAAAGTGGTTCCGTCAGCGGAGGATCGTGACGCTCGGTTCAGGACCATTTTCGGGAATCGCCGGTTCAGGGGGTTCCAGAATGAGAATGCGCGAACACGTTTTCATGCGAGCAGAGGCACTCCCTCGGCCAAAGAAGCTAGATCCTGCTGGCTTTATTGAGTTGCAGTGACCTAATCCCCCAATCTCATTCCGTGCCTATTGTGGCTAAAACCTTTGTTCAGAAGCTCGTTCAAAGGCGTTCATTTCATCTCCTTCCGATTGCGCGCATTGTTTCATCCTCGAAATCCTCGAAGCCAGTTTTCCGCCTGGTTGAGTCGTTTATGAACTATAGTCAATTACAGCTTAAGAAAAGTTTCGAGGGAAAGTAAGGTTGTGGAGGAGGAAGCAGACGAAATGCCGGAAAAAAGAGGAGGAAACGTCCTCCTCTCTTCAGCGTTTTGTGTGCTTCCTCCTCCCCGTTCTTCCTTTCCCTCGAGAACCCTTCCTGACCTGTCTTGACCATCTTGACCTCAGTACGTCAAGAATGATTTGAACTGGGGCAGAAGAAGCGGTTTTGTGGACACGCTCCTCTGTTTCCTTCTTGACCTTACTTTTTTTTCATTTTCTTTTTTTTTTTTTTTTTTTTTACAGTTTGAAGTGCTGCTTTTGACTGGTTGGACAAAGTACTCGCTCTTGGTTGTTAAACAGCGACCATGGCTTCCGTCCTCGAATTCGATGTTTCTCCTGAGTGTGTGTGTCGTTCACTCGCGTACTCATCAACAAGTCTGCCTGCCTGAACAACTTATAGTTCGGCTGTTATGAATATGCAATGCCGGACAACATGTGAAGTACCCCGAATCCCGACGGGTCATATTACACACTTATTGCGGAGTGCGTCATGAGCCGAACCTGCCGTCAAACTAAAGCACGGCAGTTGCCATGTCTACAATACGTGAGTACCGATGATCCCTAAAGTATTTCGGCGCGCATTATGGTGCCTGTCCCGAAAAGCAAAATGTGATTTTCAGAGAACTCGTCAAAAATAAAAGCGCCTCCTTTCTGACTTTTTATTGTTATATTAGTAGCTCGCAAAACTTGCCAAGTATCTTCGAATGTAATTCAATTACTTTCTCAAGGTTTTTGTTCTCTACTCAAAATAGTTCGTACTGAAAGTAACTTGAGTACTGTTCCAAATACATTTTCAGACGGGTATTTATTATCTTATCTTAAAAAAAGAAAAACAACTATTTATTTAAACAGTCTGGTTGGGACACACGTGTCAAAAAAATAAATTTTAGGCGAAAAAAATAACAGTTTAGACTCAATATTGACGGCGAGAGATTTATTTCAAAATTCTGTGCGCAAAGTCCATGACGTTATGGAATGGTCGCTCGCTCAACGAGATGATTATTCCCTCTTTCTACCTCAACGTGAAGGCAAAGCCTATCCACCTCTGCTCCACGCGCCCGAAATGCCGAGAGGGAAAATAGGTGGAAAGAAGGTGACTACCAACCCAATCACGTCTCGCGCCGTCAATGTTTTTTGCGTAAAATTTATATTTTCGGCACGCACCAAACAGACTGTTTAAAAACATTTGCCTTTTCTTTTTAGGGGTTCTTTAAATACTCGTGTCGAGTATTGGCCCAACGCTGCGTCGAACGCTCCTGCTACATGCAGCGTCAGCGTTCCGGGCCAGATGCCAAAGCTTCGGAGCTTGTCGTTATCGGATTCAAAAGTTTTAATACAATTTTCGGAAACTATACCACCGAGGAAATGGCGACCGGCGACGAAGCCCCCCCACGAAAGAATGGGAATGAATATAGCGTCGGCCACCGGGAACTGGGGGCCTATTTTCTCATTTTAAATTTTCCAAAATTGTTTAGGACTTTTTTTAATCAGATAACGGCCGGCAAACTCCTAAACGTACGGCAAAACTTTTTTTTTTTTTTTTTTTTTTGGGGGGGGGGGGGGGGAGGGGGGACGAATTTGTTATAATTTTGTTTTCGGCGTTATTTTTAGGCCCATTAGTTATAAGTAATGTCGGCTGACTGCAAACTAAACAAAAAAAAAAAAAAAAAAAAGAGAAGGAAAAGAAAGAGTATATTGAAATGTGCATTATTTTTTTTTCCTCTGTAGTTAGGATATCGAGTGCACTACTTGGTCATTCAGTAATTTGTCCCGAGCATGATTTATTTGCGTATTCATTTATTTATTTACGAAATACTT